TCAAACTCATGTCTATTGAGTCAGTGATGCCATCCAACCAACGCATCCTCTGTCGTCCCCTTCTCCTCCTGCCTTCAGTCTTTCCCAGCATCAGGGTCTTTTCAAACGAGTCAGTTCTTCGCATCAGGTGGCCAAAGTATTGGAGTTTCAGCTTTAGCATCAGCCCTTCCAATGAATATTCAGGACTGATTTCCTTTAGGATGGATTGGTTGGATCTCCTTGCAGTCCAAGGGACTCTTAAGAGTCTTCTCCAACACCACAGTTCAAAAGCATCAGTTCTTCAGCGCTCAGCTTTCTTTATTAGTCCAATTCTCACATCCATACATAATTGCTGGAAAAACCATAGCTTTGACTAGTCGGACCTGATTGGACCTTTGTTGGCAAAGGCCCTTCCAGCTTAGCCCCTAAATTATTTCCAACCTGGATGTTTCCCCCACCTCCACCCTTCTATGTGGCAAATACCTGGCAAACAGAAGGGACAGAGAGGTTCCTGATCTGTTACCATGCTGGGGGCAGCTCAAAATAATCCATTCATTCCTGTTCTCAAGGATAGGCCTGAAAAGGGGGAACTGAGCTCTTAGCCACTGTACTTTTGACTTGGCCTCATTCCTCTGTGCTCGAAACTGGGACCAAGTATCTAATCCATCCATTAATGAGTGAAACTGACCAAAATATTTCTTGGAAGATGAAAACTGCGACAGGATCAAAGGGGAGCAGACTGCGAGTCGTGGTTTTAAGCACAGGCTGTGGAGCCCTGTGCTGTGCTGAGTTGTGTTCGACCCTTTGCGACCCCGTGTACTGTAGCTCCCCAGGCTCCTCTGTCCATGGGATTTCCCAGGCACGGATACTGGAGCAGGTGACCATCTCCTTCTCCATGGGATCTTCCCCCGGGGATTTAGAACTCATGTCTCTCGGGTCTCCTTCACTGCAGACGAATTCTTTACTGTTGAGCCACCCTGGCTTTAAATTCCTGCTCCATCACTCAGTTGGACAAGTCCCTTCACCTTTCTATGTCTCAGTTTCTGTACCTGTAAAATGGAAGTGAAAAACAGCATTTACCTCACAGGATTATTAAGAGGATTAAGAGAGTTAATACATGCAAAGCACTTAGAACAGTGACAGGCACATAATAAGCTCTGTAGAAGATTAGAACATACTTCCTATAATTTCAGAAATTCGTGGAAGAAAGCAGTTGCCTCCGTTTCTCAGGAGCGATTACAATCAAAACAGCTAATGTTTACTGAGCATCTCCAGAGTGCCGAGCCCTGCACTTAGCATTTTTTATGAATTATCTCACAGGAGGTAGGGATTAATTATTCCTACCTAATAGGAAAGCAAGGATCAGAGAAATTGTTTACACAGCTGGCTAGACACCAGAGCTAGGTTTACAACTCAAGAGGGCCTGGTTCCCAGGCCTGTGCTTCTGACTACTGCACTTCTTGCTGGCCACAAACTAGTTTCCTTGCTTGTAAAATAATGGGAAAGTTGCCTGCTGTATTTATTTCCCAGGATGGTTTGGAGATCTCAGTACAATAGGAGAGGCAGAACTTTAGGTATTTGTACAGAGTTGCTGCTGGTCCCCTGACAGAGAAGCCTGAATGGGTCACAACTCTTCACACCGCCCCCCCCCCCACCACCCCCACCTCTCCGCTCCTGCCTACTGTATGCCCTTCCCCCTCTTCTCCGCCAGTTGAACTCATTTAAGACTCAGCTCAGATACCAGCACCTGCATTTCGTTCTAACAAAGGAGGGATTTAAGCTTAGATATCAGCACCCGGATTTCATTCTCACAAAGGGTGGCGCAGCAGACCTGTGTGTTTCTTAAACGTTTATTTATTTTAAATGGAAGGATAATTGCTTTACGATATTGTGTTGGTTTCCGCCAAACATCAACATGAATCAGCCATAGGTATACATATGTCCCCTCCCTCTTGACTCCCCGCTTCCTCCCCATTTCACCCCTCTCAGACCTGCGTGTTGAAATGACCATGTGGGTTATTGGTCAGTGCTCTGGACTCTACAGTGATGACTGACTGTTGTGGGGGATGGAGCGTAGCGGACCAGAGTACCAGAAGCGAGGGTTGGTGGTGAAAACGGAGGCGAACGGTGGATTGCAAAGATTATTTGGGAAAGAGAATCGAAGTTAATCGAGATGTATTTTAATGTGGGCAGCGAAGGACAGGGAGAAGGCAGGGATGACTCCTAGTTTCTGGCTTGCTCGTGGATGCTTGCTGAATGAAGGATCGAGTAACCCCACGGCAGAAGCATCTCTGACCGACGGCCCCGCACCCCGAACCGGGAGGTTTCTGGATCTACATGCGGGCGCCGGGTGGAAGGGAGGAGGAGAGCAAGAATGAACAGAGAGCCTCGGTCCAGGAGGAGCGTCTGGCCCTAGTCTGAGCCGGGAGGCACCGCGAGAGGGGCAAGCCTTTCCCCTCTGGGCCCACGGTTTCCGTCTCACTCCTCCACCCGCGCCGGCCGGGACGTGCAGCGCCCCTCTCGGCACTCTGGAGGACTTGGCTCCCGGCCGGCGTCTGGGGGCGCGGCGCAGCGGCCCACCCCTCCACCCCCGACCCGCCCTGTCCCGGCGCCCACCCCGCCCAGTGCTCTGGAAAGCTGGGCGGCGGCTCTGATCATCCCGGAGCCAGGAACCGTGGGCTGTGGGGGTGAGTCCCAGGGGCAGGGGGCCCCCGCCGCTGTGCACCTGCCTTGATGGGCGGCCGCGGGTCCCCAGACCCTCTTCCCGCGCGAGCGCCTTCTCGAGGGGTCCGCGCCTCAAAGTGCGGAGCATGGCCGAGGGTGCGGGGAGTCCGGGTGCCGGCGAGCGGAGGTTGCGTCGGGGCCTCCCGGGGGGGTCGGGGAGCGGCGGGGTTCGGGGGGCCGTGTCCCCGCGGGCCGGCGGGGCGCAGCAAGTGTCCGGGAGCGCGCGGAGCCGGGCGGAGCATCCAGGGGGCCCGGCGAGTGGCGGGGCGGAACGCGTGCCTGGAACTTTTTGCCCGCCCTGGAACTACGAGCGCCCGCGCCCGTGGGGGCTCCCGGCGGCCGCCCGGCACCCGGCAAGGAGCGCGTGTGCCCGCCGCCGCCCCTCCCCCACTTCCGCCCGCCGCCGCTTCCTCGTTCCCGGCTCCCGGGGCCCGTCCGTCCCCGGGGAGACCCGGCGGCGCAGCCCCACCCCGGCCGGCGCGGCCCGCTCCCACGCCCCCGCCGCCGCCGCCGCCGCCGCGCCGGAGCGGACAGCCTGAGTCAGCGGGGGCGCCGGGCGCGGCAGGTAGGGGCTCCGCGGGGCAGGCGCAGGTGCCACGAGAGGCCGGGGGTCGGGGGTGGGGGGAGGCGAGCGCGAGTGCAGCCCCCGGGGGCCCCCCTCCGTCTTCCCCGCTTCCCCCAGGGTCGCGGCGTGTCCCCTTTTAGGGAATTCTTTCGCTCGCTCTGACTCCACTTTGGGTGGGGCAGGACCGAGAGGGAGCTCTCTGCACCACGGGCTGGGCCCCTGGCCGCCTTCGACCCCGCAAATCTTTTCAGCTCCCTCCACCCCTCTCCCCTGCACCTTCAGTTACGTAAACAACCCCCTTCCCTTCCCCGGCGCTAAGCTCCGCGGCGCCCCGGGGCGGGCAGCCCCCTCCAGTCTCCGGGGATTGAGGGGGCGAGAGGGAAAGAGAGGGGGGCGTCCCGGAGCCCGTGGTCCCCTCCAGTTCCCCAACCCTCTTGCTCGCCCTTCCCTGCCCCCCCCACCCCCCCGCCGGAGCAGACAGCCCCAGGGGCCCTGGGTATTTTTAGCGGTGTGACCTGGGCGGCAGCTCTAAGAGCCTTTCCCAGGAATCAGCGTCAGTGTCTCCCTCCTCCGCGGCCAGGTCTGGCCGCATGGTCTCCCTCCACTTCCTTGGCCCTGCCTGGCCCCTCTAGGGGTTTGGATCGCTCGTGGCCCACCCTTAACGCCCAGTGGACTGGCTAGGATCTCGGATATGCCGAGTCCAGATGAGGCGGGGAAGGCAATCTGCGGAGGATGACGATCTGGTCCTCCAGCTAGATACTGCCTTGCCTCTGGTGATGGGCTCAGGAAGGGATGCGGAGCGAATCAGAGTGAAGGGGGTTCTGGAAAGCTCTCAGCACGGGGGGCTAGAGGGCCTGGGCTGAATCGCACCCTTCCAGTTGCTACTCGCTGACTAGTGGGGAGATCGGCCAGTGAGATGTGTCAGAGAAGAGGAGCTCAAATAAAGAGCTGTGGGAGGCAGAGGAGAGATGATGTCCTCTAAATAGCTCGGGGACCGCAGAAGGTTTTTACAGAACGCCCTCAGGAGCTGTGCCTTGTGTTTAGAGGCAGGTAGGAGGACGATGCCATTTTCAGATGCGCAGACTGAGGCTAGAAAGATGTCTTTCTTAAGGACAGAGCCAAGTCTAGAAGTCAAGTTTGTGACTTAAGAGCAGGGTTTCGAGGGGATGCAGGTGATAGTGTGTGTGTGTGTGTGTGTGTAGAGAGAGAGAGAGAGTAGGAGGGGGTGCTTTAGCTTTTGTCTGGGTTTTAAAGGATGGCGGGGGAGGGGGGGAACCGGAGTTGCAGCACTGGAGAAGGGACCTTCCTCTCTGAGATCTCTATTCTGTCCTCTCTCCCCGCCTTCCAAGGAGAGGCTGGGTCCATTAAGTGGAAAAAATGCCTCCCCCATTTGAGCTGAGCCAGCCCCTCCAGCCCCTCTCCGAAGGGCATGATCCTGAGACGTGGCCATTGGCTGTGTTCCCTGAATACAGAGGAGCCTCTCTTGCTGTGCCTGGAACTAACATCCCCTTTGTGGAGCTAGGGTCAGCCCTGCCTCTGCGTGAGACTTGAACTTTGTGGTAGTGGATTTTGTTTCAGGGAAGGGAAAGAGGGAGTCAAGTTCAGGAGTGTCCAGGCTGCAGCCAGAGGCCCCACTGCTGGGATCCTGACTGCTTGGGGGCTCCCCAAGCCCAGGCCCCTAACGGAGTCCCCTCTCCAATTCACAGCTCTCCTTGCTATTCCAGGAGCTGACATGGACCCAAATCCGCGGGCAGCCTTGGAGCGCCAGCAGCTCCGGCTTCGGGAGCGGCAGAAATTCTTCGAGGACATTTTACAGCCTGAGACGGAGTTTGTCTTCCCCCTGTCCCACCTGCATCTTGAGTCGCACAGACGTGAGTTCTGAGTCCTGGGAAAAGGGACTGGGGTGGGGCAGGGAGGAAGTCCTATAGTCCTGGACCTTGGTCCCTCCCTGATGGTTTTCTGGGCCATTTAAACATCTATCTCCAGACCTGACCGATGTCTCTGACCATCTGATCAGTGTTGGCCTGGCTCCTCCCAACTTGCCCCCTTCTTGATCTGCAGCCCCCATAGGTAGTATCTCATCCATGGAGGTGAATGTGGACACACTTGAACAAGTGGAGCTTATCGACTTGGGGGATCAAGATGGAGCAGACGTGTTCTTGCCTTGCGAAGACCCTCCACCAACCCCGCAGACGTCTGGTATGCCCCTCTGCTTTGGGCCCGTGGGCACTGGTTGGTCAGAGCTGGATGTCAAAGCTGGGTGGGGGAGTCTGCACTGAGGGGCTGGGCGTGGGCTCTTCCACCCACGAAGCAGCTGCTTGTCCTGATTTTAGGGAAGCTGACCTTGGGGGAAGCTGGGTTACAGATTCCTAATCCAAACCTCTCAGAAGGCCCAACTGCCTTAGTCTTTGTCAATTTTTTTATTTGTGAAATCAATGTAATTAGTTAACATAATAAATAATGTAAAAATATGATCTTTAGACAATTGAAGCAGTTTTAGTCATCTTAATATTTATTTAGCACTTTATTAGGCTTCTAATACCGTGCTAACGAATTTTACATGTATTATCTCAATCCTTACTATGTCCTATTAGGGCTGGTGGGATTATTCCCATCTTATAAAGAAAGACATTAGAGGGACTTCCCCGGTGATCCAGTGGTTAAGACTCTGTGCGTTCCACCACAGGGGGCATGGATTCGAACCCTGGTTGGGGAACTAAGATCTCGCATGTCATACTATATATGTATAATTATATATATATATATGAAAGAAGGATTTTAGACTCAGAGAAATTGTCACAGAGCCAGAAAGTGGAAAAGCTGGATTCGAACCGTGACTGTCTTGACTCCAAAGCCCACATGCTTAACCTGTAAGATATTAGTGGATACTGTCTTACTTAAAAGTGCTGCTCTTATTGATGGCATATTATGTGCCAGACATTTTTTGTGTGTGTGTGCCAGACATTTTATAAACATTCTCACATTTTGTCCTGATAACCCCTCTGGAATGTTGGTGCCCCCTTTTTTACAGAGGAGGAGCAGAGTCCTTGAGAGGGGAAGTGACTTGCCTAAAGCTTCTCAGTAGCATGGAAGTGAAGTGACGTAGCTAGAACTTGAACTTGCAACTTGATTGATTCGACTCTAGAGCTTAGTGAAGTGAGGGGAACTGGGAGCCAGGAGACTGGCGGGGTGACTGGCCAACTCCCTGGGCCTCAGTGTCTCCCGGCCACATCCTCTCCGAGAGTCCTCTGAACCCCTGTTCGTGGCCATGACTGTCTCTTCTCTCTGGGCAGGGGCAGATGACTGTCCTGAGGAGCCGAGCCTGCTGGTGCCCACGCCAGACAGGACGACGTCTCGTACTTCCTCCTCGTCCTCCGACTCCTCCACCAACCTGCACAGCCCCGATGCCAGTGACGGCGGAGCAGACACGCCCCTGGCACAGTCTGACGAGGAGGAGGATGGAGGCCATGATGGCGGGGCAGAGCCCGGAGCCTGCAGCTAGCAGTGGGCCCCCACCTACAGACTGTGTGAGCTGCCTCGACTCCACTGGAGACCCCAGGCCCGGCCAGAGCCCTTCAGAGAAGACCAGACTCTTTACTGCAGTAGGCACCAGGGGGAGGAAAGGAGGGTGGGATGGTGTGCCTTCCTGGGAATTAACCCGCTCCTGCTTTACTGCTAACCTTCCCCTGCTGCATCCTTCCGCTATTCGTTAGAATATTTGGAATTAGCTGGGCATTTGGAATATAGTTTTGAACAAGACAGGCGCCCTGCCTTCATGGAGGAGAAAAAAAATCAAGAAAATATCATGGTTTTGGCTTACTCCTGAAGTAGGGTCCACGAGTGAGGAGATGGAAGATGAGATAGGATGAGATGCCACTGCTTTTCTTAGCACTCTTCCCTCCTCCGGACTGTCCTGAGTCTCCTAAACCAGTGTCTCTAAGTGGACGTGAACTCCTTAACACTCCCAGGGAGATGGTCCTGCAGCCATCCTGCTTCCTTCCATCCTTTTTGGAACAGGGCATGGTGTGAATAATAAACAGAAAACAATATACCAACCATTCCATTCATCTTTCACATCGGACAGATATCAAACCCAATATATTTCTTTAGCTCTCTGGTGGTGGTTTAGTTTCTAAGTCTTGTCTGACTCTTTGCGACCCCATGGACTGTAGCCCACCAGGCTCCCCTGTCCATGGGACTTTCCAGGCCAGAATACAGGAGTGGGTTGCCATTCCCTTCTCCAGCGGACCTTCCCGACCCAGGGATTGAACTGGGTCCCCTGCATTGGCGGGCTGATTCTTTACCGACTGAGCCACCAGGGAAGCCCATATTCCCATCATTCACTTGCTCTGTTTATTCTAGAAGGAGTTATTTGGAATTAGCTGGACATTTGGAATACAGTTTCGAACACGATAGGCTTCCTGCTTTTAGGGAGGAGAAAATCAAGAAAATACCACAGTTCTGAGCGTAATGAGTAGCATGATGAGGAACTCTTCTGTTAGCAGAAAAGAGGGGCATCTTAATCTAGCTCATGTGGTCACTGGAGAGCTGGTTTTCGGGCTGGGATCCAAAGGATAAGAAGGAGTTAGCTGGAGGGGGTGTGTGTGGTGTGGGGGGCGCTCTAATCCAGGCAGAAAGAGCAGCTTGGAAGAACTTTAAATGGAGAGAAATAGTCTTGAGGAACTGAAAAACATTCAGCATAGCTGAATTGTTGAATTTGAGTAGGAGATTGGGAAGGATTAAGATCTGACAAAGGTCAGATGAGGAAATACTTTAAAGCCAGTATCAAGTTTCAGTTTAACTGCTAGGAAAATATCAGTGATTTAAGATATAAATTTTGTTTCCTCACATAAAAGAAGTCCAAAGTTCTACAGTTACTGGACACCAAGGTCCTTTTCAGCTCTTTTTACTCAGCCATCTAAGGCACATGTCTGGAATTCTCACTGATACCTCATGTCTAGAATGGCTGTTGAGTCCCCAGTCCTTGAAACTGGTGGAAAGCAGGCGAAGAAATTAAGGATGGGCAAAAGAGGCACGGGTCGCTGTCTCTTCCCACTTTGAGAACCTTATTTGGAAGTTCTAACCAGTAGTATCCATTTTCATCTCATTGGCAGAACTTGGTAACATGAGTAATATTTCATTTACAGGTATTTTATAGGGACACAGCATTATCTAGAAGAAAGGAAATCTTGGCCTTTGGAAAGATAATAACCCTTCAGGTTTTAATTATCAATGTGTCTGATTTCTATGCTTCCTGTCAAACCTCTCAGAAGCTCCCCTTTAGTAGGGCCCCCTGCTGTCTTGTTAAAATCAAGGTTATGTTACTAAGAAACAAGAGAACAGTCATCATTGGGTAGATAACTAGCAGTTTACCCACTACAAATTTGAACTTTACTGGGAGTAATGAAGGATTACAAGTGATTGACATTTCTTGTTAAAATGATAATTCTGGCTGCAGTGTAGAAAACATACTGGAAGAGGGCGTGCTCCGGACAGACAGACATAACACAATAATCCATGCAAGAGATAAAGTAAAGTAAAGTGAAGTCGCTCAGTCGTGTCTGACTCTTTTTGACCCCATGGACTGTAGCCTACCAGGCTCCTCTGTCCATGGGATTTTCCAGGCAAGAGTACTGGAGTGAGTTGCCATTTCCTTCTCCAGGGGATCTTCCTGATCCAGGGATCAAACCCAGGTCTCCTGCATTGCAGGCAGACGCTTTACCCTCTGAGCCACCAGGGAAGCCCAAGAGATAACAGTGGACCAAAAGACAGTGGTGATGATTAGTTTAACTGGGTTGAGGCTGAGTATAAACAAATGACATTCATTCAATAAGTATTAAATGTCAGTGTTTAACATGTGTAAGACAGTGAGTCTGGTCTTGGGGGTGTGGTAGTAGCACACACACAGACAACAGACCCAGTCTTACGCTTAGGGAGTTCAGGGTCTACCAGGGCCCAAATGTAAAACTGCAACTAGGACTCGTTTGAGGAAGGAGTTAATATCCTATTAAGAAAGGTCACGAGGTATTTGCCTGGAGAAAGTGGTTCTGAGCTGAGATCTGAAGGCAGAGTAGGAGTAGTTTAGGGGAAGAATGGCTGGAAGGACTCCTTGAGGAGATGTACTGATTGGAGGGGACCAGAGTGGATGTCTGGAAACCAGGAGATGGTTGCAACCATCCAGATAAAAATGGGATAGGGTGGAGGTGTGGGGGATGTAGAAAAGTGGAAGGAATGAAGAGATGTTGGGGAGGCAAATTTCGAAATATTTATAGATAGGTGGGTGTGAGCGAGGACTGGCTGGAGGGCGTCACCATTGCCTCTGCCTTGCACAGAGGGATGGTCCGGAGTTTTTCTTCATCCACATGGAGAATTTAGGAGAGGGCCAGATTTTAGAAGTCGGTCATGAATTAGGTTTTGGACATGTTGAGTTTGAGGTGCTTTGGAGACCAGGAGGACATTTTGAGTAAGCATTTGGACCTGTGAGTGTGGGATTTAGAAGAAACGATTGGGTTGGAAGATCAATACATGAATTATCAGTGTATAGGTGATCAGCGTGCCATGGGTGTCAGTGAGCTTACCCAGGGAAAGATGGAATGAAAGGAGGGTTATAGGACCTAACCTTAAGGAACATCAAATCATTTTTCATCTTAGGAAAAGGAAATCATCCCACCTCCCTTCATACATCAAACCATCCATGGGATCAGTGACCTTCAGCCTAAATCTCAAAGCTCTCTGTGCAGTTCAGGCTGAGTGACAGGGCTGCAGGCTTCCCAGTAGCCCCATTTTGCTTCCATCCCTGCAGGGGGCCATTGTAAGTGACAGTTCTTAAGTGCTTTTCCTAGTACTACTGAAAAACTGGTGGGAGTTCTGTGCGTCTTTTGTCTAAAAGTCTGTGTCCAAGTTGAGATCATCCACTAAGCTGGGCCAGGGCCCAGCCTCATGTTAAATTTTGTGGCTTTTCTGGGTTGCCAATGACTTCACTGCACACAGAAGACATGGTCTTCTCAACCTCCTGACTTTAGCGGCTGAGCCTTCTCCTGGGCTGTACCCCATGATATCTGCAGCTCAGCTCCTCAGAGTTTCTCAGTTCCTGGTATCCCCCCACTCCCCATCCAGGGTGACTGGTGGGAAGCTAGCCTGACCTGTTTGCTGTCAACATGTCAACAACCCTGGGCATACAGTGCTAATGGGGGTAGGGAGCCTGGCTGGGGAGAGAGATCTACAGCACTCTGGAGGGGTGGAATTGTTCATGAGTCTACGGGGAGCCTTCAGTTCAGCTGCTATGAGCCCCAGCCCTGCCTGGGAAAATCTAGGGTCAGCTGAGACCCCAGGACCACTTCCTGTTTGGACAATGATCTCTTCTTCTGCCAAACCACAGGGCCTTGGCTGGCCTCAGAGCCAGCATCTCCGGCTGACTGTTTTTTTGAGGCCACAGAGGGCCCTTGGAGATGGGGGTGATGACTTGGCGCCAACTCCAAGGCAAGCAGCCCAGCTTTCAGCCTCTAAACCACAGTGTGGCATCTTCTGTCTGTGGCACAGGCTTGTCATAGACCCTGAAGCAGAGAGAAGAAGACAGCCTCCTCCTATAGAATCCTGTGCTGTGGAGGGGTCACATCTCAGTGGAAGATTCCCTGGACGACTCACACTGCAGCCGTCCCCAGAAGTGCGCAAGACTTGATACTGTGAACAGCACAGTGATGTGGGGACAACGTGGAATGGTTGTCAAGTTTGTTTGTTCATCCGGACATTACTGAGCCCCCACACTGTGCTAGCTTCCTTGCTTAGGCAACAGAAATACTAATGTGGCCAAGAGTTCTTCCAGGAAGTGACATGGTCACAGATAATGGAAATATAAAGTGAGCTGTAGCACCAGAGAGGGAGAAGGTAAGTCTTCTCTGGGGGTGGCTGGATCTTGAGTGATGGGGACAGGCAATTTCAAAAGAAAACAAAGCATAGAAGTACAAGGTAATCATTATCATAATTGCAACTACCTTAACATTTTCTTTGAAGTTGGTAGTGTGGACTCCAGTTCTGACTCATTGTGATCTTAGGCAGTTATCTTGGTTTATGTACCTCAGTTTACTCATCTGTAAAATGGATATAATAGTATCTTCTTCATAGAGTGGGCTTCCTGGTGGCTCAGCGGTAGAGAATCTGCCTAAAATGCAGGAACTGCAAGAGATGCAGGTTCAATCCCTGGGTCAGGAAGATCCCCTGGAGGAGGGCATGGCAACCCATTCCAGTGTTTTTTCCTGGAGAATCCCATGGACAGAGGAGCCTGGCAGGTTACAGTCCATAGTGTTGAAAAGAGTCAGACATAACTGAAGCGACTTAGCGTGCACGCACAGGTATGCACCTCATAGAGTTTTTTTTTTTTTTGAGTAACAGCTTGCAGAAGTTACTAAGCACTTACTCCATTCCAGAGTCTACATGCACCTAATTTCTGATCCTTACAATAACCCTGAAAGTAGGTTCATCCATTTACAGAGCAGGAAGAGTGGCACTCAGATTGCTAATGCTCATATGACTAAAGGCTGGGGTGGGGATTTGAACCCACATCTGTCTCACATCTGAGCTCAAAGCCTTCCTTCTGTTCCATGTCTGGTGGGGCAGGAACACTGGATGTAGGTAAAATGAGGGTATACTGAGATAAAGACATCTTTTTGACTCTTCCTCTCTGGTTGTCTAAGGGTATATCTAGACCTGGTGGACACCAAATTTGGCTCTTCAGAGCCAAAATGGTTGTGAATTTTACCAAGAGACTACAAAGCCCATCATGAATGTGCACCTGATTAGGCACGTGGAAAAACCAAAGCAAGAATTGTTTGGAGCCCCTCCAACTCAAGCCAGCACAGAAGGGGTGAGGTAGAAAAAGATTTTAAACAGATCCTTTGCAAAAGAAAATATATGAATGACCAACAAATACATGAAAAGATGTTTAACATCACTAGGTACTAAGGAAATGCAAATTAAAACCACAGTGAGATACCACTACATACACACCTACGTGGTAAAAACTAAAAAGACCCCCAAGTTAAATGTTCACTGGGATGTGGAGCAATAGGAATTCTCATACATTGTTGATACAAGTATGAAATGATACCTTCTGGAGAAAGATCTAGCAGTTTCTTATAAAATTGAACATATGTTCTCTTTCACCATTCATAAGTATTTATCCAAAAGAAATGTAACGCTTATTCCTACAAAGTAACTTGTATAGCAGCCCAGCTCATAAGAACTAAAAACTTGAAAGAGCTCAGGTGTACATGGACAGAAGAGATAAACTATGGTATATTCAGACAATGTATGAATGCTATACAGCAATGAAACAAACAAACTGCTGGTACATGCAAGAATGTGAATGATTCAACAAAACATTATTCCCATGAAAGAGTCTTTTACAAAAAACTGTACATAGTATACGATGATTTCATTTATATGGAGCTCTAGAACAGATTAATCCATTTTGTGGAGAAAAATCACAACAGTCGTTGCCTCTGGAAGGCAGGGGGCACCGGGGTCGAGTGGCAAGGGGCATTAGCCAACTTTCAGGGGTTTTACGAACATATCTTGATAGGAGTTACACCAGTGTATCCATTTGTTGGATTCAATGGATGTGCACTTTGGAGTTGAACAGTCGTGTTTGTAAATTTTACACCAAAAGAAAAATGTTAACAGGTATTGAACTCTGGATAATGATGTGCAGGCGAAACTATTTAAAGAGAAGTGTCCTTATGTCTGAAATCTCTTTGAAATGCATCAAAACAAGATGAATTGTGGGAGGTAGACTGATAATGTGATAAGACAAGTACAGTAAAATGATAACGGTGGAATCTAGGTGATGGGGAAACAGGTGTTCATTGTAACAGGTATTCATCCTTTCACCTTTGTTGTACGTTTGAAATTTTTCATAATAAACGGGCGGGTTATTTGAGGGTTTTGTGGGGAAGTTTTGCACCATAAGAGCTGGCTAGGCTTAGGACCGAGCAAACAGTCAAGAGACTACTGGAGGCACGGGCCCGGCTGTGGGACCTCGCAGAAGAAATAACCTTTTGCAGTCTGCCTCTTCAGCTATCACGGAGGCACAATGGCAGTGGTGGCTAAGCACTTTATCGTAGGGAAACGGGTCCACCATCCAGACCCCAATCGGTCAGCTCCCCTTTACACACCCCATGCTGAAGGGCCTATACAGCCTGTCGTTCTGACAGCCGCACCCCGACTTCCGGGACAGTACCGGAAGTCACTCCTCTTCCGCTCTTCCTATTGGAGGCCGGCTTTTCGCAGGGGTGGGGCCACTGGGAGCTGGAAGCAGCCGTAGGCATGGCGGCGGCCGTGCGGTTAGTTCTGCTGGTGCTGCTGCTTCTGGGACCGGGCATCTGGGGCCAAGCGGAGCCCCCACGCGACAGCCTGCGGGAGGAGCTAGTCATCACCCCGCTGCCTTCAGGGGACGTAGCCGCCACATTCCAGTTCCGCACGCGCTGGGATTCGGAGCTGCAGCGGGAAGGAGGTGAGGAGGGGAGACTGATGGGAAATTGTGGCACCTGCTGGAAGTAGGGTGGAGGCCAGCCTTGGGGGCAGGGACTGACCCCTCGGTGAGGTTCTGGTCCCGGGGCGTGGGTCCTTGGCTGAAGGGTGGGGCAGTTTTTGAGGAATCACATTGTGCCAGTGAGGAAACTGGGGCCCGGGGAGGGCTGACTTCTAGTGCGGTGGTCTCTCCGCAGCTTCACGCTACCACCCTAAACCTTTAGTTAGCACCATCCGTGGATGGCAGTGATAAGGATGCTGTTGACGATTACCGTTTATCCTGAGTGCTGGGCACGGTGCTGAGTTGAGTGAATGGTTGCAGGGAAGAAATTGGAGGTATAGAGAGATAATGGCACCGGTCCAAGATCACATTGCTTAGTCAGTGACTGACTGGTCAGGAATTTAGATTCCTCTGACCCCAGAGCTGGGGTGTATTTATGGTTTCTTTGCGGTGGCTGAGAGCCCTCCTTCCAGGATCATCACTCCCCTGCTGTCTCTTCTCCAGTGTCTCACTACAGGCTCTTCCCCAAAGCCTTGGGGCAGTTGATCTCCAAGTATTCTCTCCGCGAACTGCACCTGTCCTTAACCCAAGGCTTCTGGAGGACTCGCTACTGGGGGACACCCTTCTTGCAGGCCCCATCGGGGGCAGAGCTGTGGGCTTGGTTCCAAGACACCGTCACCGAGTGAGTGCCCACCTTGAGGCCTGTTGCAGGCCATGGCGGGAACGGGGCATGGCAAGTGTTGTCATCCTACCACTTTGGGGGAAGCATTTCCATGGCTGTAAAGCTGCACTGGAAGTAAGAAGTATTATGGCCTGGTGGCATTCTTGACTTTGCTTATGTTTCCTTCCCCTGATGCATCCAGACCTGTGGTCGCATGTATCTACGGAGATAGATAGCAGTTATCTGAAGCCTACTTGGATGTAAGGCACTAGAAAGCTGTGGCAAACTGGACAATCTTTTAAAGACATTCATTCACATAATAATAAAATGCCACAAGGGCCAAATAAAATATATGTGGGCTAGAACTGGCCTGCAAGACATCATATCTCTGTATTCGAGAAATGACTGTTTTTTAGTGGAGGGATGGGTTAGGTACTGTGATTGGACCAGGTGCATGTGTGCTCACTCACTCAGTTGTATCAGACTCTTTGCAACCCCATGGGCTGTAGCCTGCCAGGCTCCTCTGCCCGTGGAATTTTCCAGGCAAGAATACTGGAATAGGTTGTCGTTGCCTCCTCCAGGAGATCCTCCTGACCCAGGGATGGAACTTGCATCTCTTGCATCTCCTGCATTGGCAGGTGTATTCTTTACCATTGCCTCACCTGGGAAGCCCAAATTCTCTTAATCTCACTATGGGAAATCAGCACATATGTATAATTAAAAAAAATTTAGGGGTTCTTCCCTGGTGGTCCAGTGGTTAAGACTTCACCTTCCAGTGCAAGGGGTACGGGTTCCATCCCTAGTCGGGGAGCTAAGAACTCACATGCCTTATGGCCAAAAAAACCAAAACATAAAACAGAAACAATACTATAACAAATTCAATAAAGACTTTAAAAGTGGTCCATATTAAAAAAAAAACAACAACAAAAAGCCTTAAAAAAAAATTTAGGGCCTTATCTGTGGCAGGCTGGAGAGCTTGGGAGGACAGCCACCTCTCAGCCCCAATGGATTGTTGTCATGTGGGAACAGAGACCTACTGTGGTCAAATACTGTCATTTTTCCCAGAAATCTGGATTTTAATGTGAAAATTGGCAAGCTTAAATATCAGCAAGTAACTTAAAAATTTAAGAAATACCTATGGATTAATGTTGTGCACAGCAAATGGAACATGGCTATGGTTTGGGTAGCGTTTTCAGGCTTCCAGTTTGCAGTCTTTATTTGAGGCATAAGGATTGGAGCAGTTGGAAAGCTCTGAACACAGGGCTGTTGAAAAACCCCAGGCTAGCTCTCTGGTGGTTATCAAATGAAGAGCAAGCCCCTACACTGGTCAGGGCTTCCGCTCTTGCCTGAACTCTGGCTTCTTTGCCTTTTATCCCAACCACTCTGCTGTCACTAACTCCCCTCATCATTGCCTATAGTGTGGAGGTGATGTTCAGAAATCTACTTTTATTCTATTAGTTCTATAAAGAGCAAATCTGTTTTGCTGTTTCTGTAAAGAAAAAAAACCACCTAATTAAATGCGATGTTTCTCTGGGGTCCTGGGACGCTTATTTTCCCTTGTCCATGAACCTTTGTCGATGTAAGACTTGCCATCCTGAGGGCAGAACCAGGACTCACCAGGGTGTTCACAGGGAAGTAGGTGGTTTTGCCCCGCTGAGCACACCTCAGGGTGGATCAGGGGGCCCATCTCAGCCCCTGGGGTGTGGGGCACTTTGTATCGCGTTGTGGACTGTACGTGGGTGACCCAGCCTTGCTCCCTGTCCTCAGTTTGCTCTCAGCCTAGTCGAGGAGAAAAGATGCTTACAGCAAGGTTCTATTGCCACCCAGCCATTTCCCAGGAGGGCCCTGGTGAGAGGCATGGACGGTCAGAATGGCAATAGCGCGGGAGGAGACTGTGGTTGAGGAGGGCCGGAACGCTGCCTGGAGGAGGGAACACCCTGGAAGGGGCGCGTAAGGAGTGAGGCGGCACCGCGAGGTGCCAAGAGGGGCCACCTAAGCGGAGGCTGGCGGGGATGCGGGGATGCTCAGAGGAGAGGGCGGGCGAAGGGGCTGACGGGGAGAGCCGGGCCTCGGGCCCCGCGGGGGCGGTTGCGGCTCCAGCAGCTGGCCGGCCTCATGGCTTGGCAGCCAGCTGCAGTCTCTGAGTGAGGGGGCAGACGAAGCCCCGGGACAGTGAGTGGGTTTGTGTCTCCATCTAGCGTGGATGAGTCCTGGAAGGAGCTCAGTAATGTCCTCTCGGGGATCTTCTGCGCGTCTCTCAACTTCATCGACTCCACCAACACGGTCACGCCCACCGCCTCCTTCAAACCCCTGGGGCTGGCCAACGGTGAGACTGCCGCATCCTGTCCTTCTTCCTGAGACCTCTCATCCTGGCCTTTGCCTCCTTTCCCCTCTGCTTCCTCCTCCGTCTGCGGGGCAGGGTCATAAATCCCCAGGGTGGGCAGGCCCCCCAGGAAGACTGTCTCTGCATTGCTTTCTCCCGAAGGGACGAGGCTGTGGGGGTGGTGGTGCTGGAGACTGTGTGCGGGTCCTGAGGAGCGGGGCCCCAGGGCCCTCCCCAGCCAGGCTCCTGTCTCCCCCAGGCACGGACCACTCCTTCCTGCGCTACGCGGTGCTGCCGCGGGAGGTCGTCTGCACTGAGAACCTCACCCCATGGAAGAAGCTCTTGCCCTGCAGCTCCAAGGTGAGGCCTGAGGGGCCTGAATGTGGGTGGGAGTCCCAGAGAGTGGATGGCGTGGCCTGATGCCCCCTCCCTGCCCGACAGATTGCCTTGGCCCCACGCCCAGGCGCATCACCATGCAGGGCACTGACCTTTGCTCTCACGCTGCCTCCTCCAGGCAGGCCTCTCAGTGCTGCTGAAGGCTGATCGCCTGTTCCACACGAGCTACCACTCCCAGGCAGTGCACATCCGCCCAGTTTGCAGAGTAAGTCTTGGGGAATGGGAGACAGGGGCCATCCCGGGGCTGTGAGAGAAGGCGCAGGTAAAGCACATCGCCCAGTGTCTGTCGAGGGCTGAGCCAGTGGTCAGTGGGAGACGTGATGATGGTGATTCAGGGATTTGGTCACGCACCAAGGAAACCGACTGGTTGCCTGGCAAGCCACCACTTAATCTCCGTCGTGGGGCCTGGCGGTCATGAGCTGTAGCTGTGTGGGTACACTTGCTAGCTCAGCCACTTTCCAGCTGACTTGACCTTGAGTGGGTCACTTTATTTCCCTGGTTTTCTCATCCGTCAGGTGAGAATAATAGTATCAGTTCATCCAGTTGTTGGCAACGGTTCATCCCACTGATGCGCAGGTTGTGCTGGCACAGGGTCACGTGCTCAGTAGGGAGTGGTAGCAAACTGATGGGGAGATACGGAATAGAGGAGGGATTGCGTCCAGGTAGCAGTCCCTGGGGCTGTGAGGTTGGGGGAGAGGTAGGTCCTCACTGCTGCCGTCTGGCCCTCGTAGAATGCACGCTGTACCAGCGTCTCCTGGGAGCTGAGACAGACCCTTTCTGTTGTATTTGATGCCTTCATCACAGGACAGGGGAAGAAGGGTAAGCTCCCTTGCTCTGGCATCTCTACCCACCCATCGCCAGCCCCGCCCTATCTGTGCGGAGCAGGCCTAGTCCTGTCCCAGTTCATCCCCACCCTCTGCTCCCTAGACTGGTCCCTCTTCCGGATGTTCTCCCGAACTCTCACCGAGCCCTGCCCCTTGGCTTCAGAGAGCCGAGTCTATGTGGACATCACCAGCTCCGGCCAGGTACTGAGGTCTCCAGCCACACGCGTCAGCCCCTTCCCTCCAAGGCCAGCCTGCCCCTCTGCTCGCTTCTCAGCCCTGTCCTTGTGTCTCCAGGACAACGAGACGTTGGAGGTGTACCCGCCCCCCCTTACCACATACCAGGACGTCATCCTGGGCACCCGCAAGACCTACGCCGTCTACGACTTGCTGGATGCAGCTGTGGTCAGCACCTCGCGCAGCCTCAACATCCAGCTGAAGTGGAAGAGGCCCCCAGAGAATGGTGGGTGGAGGGCGGGCCGCCACGGCCACCATGGGCTACAGCGATTTCATTTTGTGGGGGAAGACTCACAGTCACATCTCTTCACCAGGAGACAACAGGCTTATGTTTAGATCCAGATATCTGGAGTCAGATGTCTTGGTTCTAACACCACCTCTTCTAAGCTCTATGACCTTGAAGGTTCCTAACTTCACTGTCTCGTGCTGAAAACGGGGACAGTAATACCTAACAGGTTAGAGGAGATAATTAATGGAAAACATGGAAGTCATTCATGCATTTGTTCATTTAATTAACAAAAAATTTTTTTGACACAAATACCCTGATTTCGAGAAACATTAACATATAATAGTTGAAGCAGACCTCAAACAATTAGTTGCAGTCATGTTCAGTGTTACCAAGGAAAAGCGTGAAATATTGTGAAAACACTTGGTTTGGGTTGGAACCGGCAGAAAGCTCAGGCCTTGTTAGTACTCAGTAAATAACAGTAATTCTGTTGTCATTGCTATGAGTTAGGGAAGACAGGGATGGTTCCAGAATGCATGTTTCCCAGTTCTGGCAGAGCCTCTCCCCTTCCCCTTCCTGGCTTTGAGACTCTGAACCTGGCCGAGGGAGTGGATTTGGGGAGTGACTCCCGCTTCTTTTCTTTAAAGGTGTGGTTAACTGTTGGCTTTTCTCTGAGCAGAGGCCCCCCCGGCGCCCTTCCTGCACGCCCAGCGGTATGTGAGCGGCTACGGGCTGCAGGGCGGGGAGCTGAGCACCCTGCTCTACAACACCCACCCGTCCCGGGCCTTCCCTGTGTTGCTGCTGGACGCCGTGCCCTGGTACCTGCGGCTGTACGTGCACACGCTCTCCATCGCCTCCAGGGGCAAGGAGAACAAACCGAGTGAGCGCCGAGGCCCCAGCCCACCCCCCTCCCCCGCCACGTCCCCCAACACCTCTGTTCTCAGGGTAATTCCAGAAGTTCCTCGCAGTCTGCACAGGCATGAGTAGTTTGAGACATTGAGTGACCTCACCAATGCCAGATCTGCAAGGGTTTATAAAGTCAAAGTAGTTAAACCACATAGTCCTGGTGATCTTCGCAGGATGTGATAAAGGCAGGAGTTTCCTTATCTTTCTCACTTGCTTCCTCCTCTTTCCTGGAGCTCTATTTTGTTTCAGATGATTCCTAGACTCTTTGAGGTGGAGAAGGGGCTAGCCAGAAAAAAAGAGTATTGGATACAAAGAAGGTGACAGAGCTGAAGTAGGTAGTTTTTGCTTCCTTGGGTGGGATAAAGAGGTGCAGCTTTAAAAATTTGTTTGTTTTTTCTGTTATTTTTCTGAGGAGGAGTTAATATTTACTGAGTGCTGTGAGATGCCAGGCATAGCACAAAAGCACTTGTTTTCCTTTGGAGTGGAGGGAGACTAAGGAACACTTCTTAGGAAGACGTTAAAGTACAACCCCAACAGTTAGACTTATAATCTTTTCTAAACCTCTTTGTGGTTTCCCATATGTTCAAACCCGTGGTTAATAGTTTTACTTATTTTCAATGATGCACTGAGTCATCGTTGCTGAGCACAGGCTTTCTTTAGTTGTGGCAAACGGGGGCTCATCTTGAGGTGCTCGGGCTTCGTGGTGTGGTGGCTTCCCTGGTGCAGAGCGCAAGCTCTCGGCGCGAGGGCTCGGTGGTTGCAGCGCGTGGCCTTCAGTAGGTGTGGGTCATGGGCTCTCGGGCGCTCAGGCTCAGTAGTTCTGGCGCACTGGCTTAGTTGTTCTGTGGCATGTGGAATCTTCCCAGGTCAGAGATTGAACCTGTGTCCCCTATATTGCCAGGCGGATTCTTAACCACTGGACCACTAGGGAAGTTCCTGTTTTGTTTTATCTTTGCTCTGGCAAATTTGAAATACATACCCAAATGGAACAGAGTAATGAACTCCCAGGTGTGCATTACCCAGCCTCAGCAGTCTCCAGCTTCATATCCCATTTTTTGTTTGTTGTTGATTTTTTTTTCTAGTTTCATTGAGATATAATTGACATATAGCACAAGATAAGTTCAAGGTGTTCAGCATGATCATTCGACTTATATCTATCATGAAATGACCGCAGTAAGTTTAATGAACATCCATCATTTCATACAGATACAAAATTAAAGAAATAGAAAAAAATTTTTCCCTTGTGATGAGAACTCTAAGGATTTACTCTCTCAACAGCTTTCATGTGTAGTGTACAACATTAACATATTTATTATGTTCTACGTTACATTTCCAATTCTTGTCTTAGAACTGGAAGATTGTACCTTTTGACTGCCTTCATCCAGTTCCCCTTCTCCCTACTGCTTACCTCTAGTAGCAGCAAATGTGATCTCTTTTTCTATGACTTTGTTTATTTTTGAAGTATAATTGATCTGTAACACTATGCTAGTTCCTGGTAATAGCAAAGTGATTCAGTGTTTCTGTACTTTTCAAAATGATCATCATGATAAGTCTGGTTACCATCTGTCACCATACAAATATAAGACATACTTATTGACTATATTCCCCACACTGTACATTTTGTACCTGTGACTCATTTATTTTGCAACTGAAAGTTTGTTCCTCTTACCCTCTCTCATCTATTTCTCTCCTCCTCCCACCCCTCTCTCCTCGGGCAGTCACCTGTTTATTCTCTGTGTCTATGACTACTTCTGTTTGGTTATATTTATTCTTTTTTTTTTTGATTCCCAGTATAAGTGATATCTTACAGTATTTGTCTTTGACTTATCTCATTTAGCCTAAAGTTTTCTAGCTCATCCATGTTGTTGCAAATGTCAAAATTTCCTTCTTTTTTATAGCTGAGTAATATTCCACATCATCTTTATCCATTCATCCATTGATGGGCACTTAGGTTGTTTTCTTAGCTATTGTAAATAATGCTTCAGTGAACACTGGGGTGCCTATATCTTTTCAAATTAATGTTTTTGTTTTCTTTGAATAAATACCCAGGAGTGGAATTGCTGGATTGTATGGTAGTTCTGCTTTTAGATTTTGAGGAATCTCCCTACAGGTTTTGATAGTGGCTGCACCAATTTACATTCCCAACACAGTGCACAAGGGTTCCCTTTTCTTTGTATACTCACCAACACTTGTTATTTGTTGTCTTTTTGATGATCCCAAGAGGTGTGAGGTGATATCTTATTGTGGTTTTGATTTGCCTTTCTGTGACAATTAGTGATGCTGAACTATTTTTTCATCTGCCTGTTGGCCAGTCTTTATGTCTTCTCTAGAAAAATGTCTATTCAGGTCCTCTGCCCATTTTTTAAAACAATTTTTTCTTTTTTGACATTGAGTTGTATAAGTACTTTGTATATCTTGTGTACTAACCCCTTATCGATAACATTTGCAAATACCTTCTCCCTTTCAATAGTCTGTCTTTTCATTTTTCTGGTAGTTTCTTTCACTGTGCAAAAGCTTTTTAGTTTGATGTAACCACATTTGTTTATTTTTCCTTTTGTTTTTCTTGCCTGAGGAGACATATCCAAAAAAACATTGCTAGTTCAAAAGGCACACTGCCTATATTTTCTTCTGGACGTTTCATCATTTCAGGTTTTACGTTTAAGTCTTTAAGCCATTTTGAGTTTATTTTTGTATTTGGTATAAGAAAGTAATCCAATTTGATTCTTTTGCATATAGCTGTCTTGTTTTCCCAGCACCATTTATTGAAAGGGCTGTCTTTTCCTCATTGTGTATTTTTGTCTCCTTTGACATAGATTAATTGCTGATATAAGTATGGGTTCATTTCTAGGCTCTCTGTTCTGTTCCACAGCTTCCCATCATTTTTGTTTCATCTTTCTCCTTATTTATTTATTTATTTGGTTTGGTTACTTTTTTGCTGGAGTATCTTAAAAGAAATTCTAGATATCATATCAGTTCACCTTTAAACATCTCTAACAGGTAAGGGGCTTAAACATATGTATAACCTATTGTTATCACTCCTGTTTACCCCAGTGGTCTTGAAAATAACTTTATAATTGATTTGAACTGGGTAAAAACCAGGTGCTCACAGTATATTTGCTTGATAGCTCTTAAGTTTCTCTGTCTTTTTAGATTAAAAGACTTACTTTTCTAAGAGCAGTTTTAAGTTTACAGAAAAGTTGAGCAGAAAGTATGGGGTTCCCATATACACTTCCTTTCACCCCCATCTTCCCTGCTCTCCCCGCCTTGATTGGTGTGGTCCTCTTACATCTCTTTTAATCTGTAAAACAGTTCCCAGTGGTTTTTAAAAAATTGATTTGTTGCAAAACTGGGTCATTTGTTGTATAGGATGTTCTACATTCTGGTTGTCCCGTGTTTTACATGTTCCTCGATCCTCTGTGTATTCCTGAGTATCAGTGCTTAGTTTTAGAAACTTGATTAGATTCAGGTCTCATATTTCTGGCAGGAAACCTTCCCAGGTGGTTCTCTGGACTCCCTGTTGCATCACGGGAGGCACTGGACGCCTGGTGGCCCAGTTTTTGTGATGTGAAGATGGATTAGGTTGAGCATGTCCTGGAATAGCTGCCCTGGAAACACCTTTTCCCTCCTTGCCCTCCTCCTCCCCCCGGGGGCCTGCCTGCCTTCCGTGATCCTGATTCCTCCTCCTCGGCTCCCCAGTCCCAGCCCCAAGGCTGGACAGGTAGGGACAAGCGGTGCAGGTGGGCTGAGCCCTGGAAAGAGCTCTGGGTGCTCTTGGTCCCCAGGTTACATCCACTATCAGCCTGCCCAGGACCGGATGCAGCCCCACCTCCTGGAGATGCTGATTCAGCTGCCGGCCAACTCCATCACCAAGGTCTCCATCCAGTTTGAGCGGGCGCTGCTTAAGTGGACCGAGTATACCCCAGACCCCAACCACGGATTCTATGTCAGGTGGGGGCCCGTCACCAGCCGCCCCCGCCCTCCTGGGGGAGGAGTGTGGGGAGCACGGCTCACGGAGTGTCTGTCTGCTTCACCACGTTCCCTGGGGGAGGAGTGTGGAGAGCACGGCTCACGGAGTGTCTGTCTGCTTCACCACACTCCCTGGGGGAAGAGTTTGGGGAGCACAGATCACGGAGTGTCTGCTTCACCACGCTCCCTGGGGGAGGAGTGTCTGTCTGCTTCACCATACTCCCTGGGGGAGGAGTGTGGGGAGCACGGCTCATGGAGTGTCTGTCTGCTTCTCTGCAGCCCATCTGTGCTCAGCGCGCTTGTGCCCAGTGTGGTGGCAGCCAAACCTGGGGACTGGGAAGAGAGCCCCCTCTTCAACAGCCTGTAAGTGTGAGCCCGGCTGCTGGTGTCCTGGTGGCACCTGCACAGAGGATCAGGCTCCTGTGGGCTGGCCTGGGGTTAGAGGTTGTGCTTGCAAAGTAATGAGTAGATTGGCCCTGTCTTAATTCAAACCCCAGTGGTCTGTACTATTAGTATGCTGCTGCTAAGTCACTTCAGTTGTGTCCGACTCTGTGCGACCCCATCCCTGGGATTCTCTAGGCAAGAATGCTGGAATGGGTTGCCATTTCCTTCTCCAATGCATAAAAGTGAAAGTGAAGTCGCTCAGTCATGTCTGACTCTTTGCGACCCCATGGACTGCAGCCTACCAGGCTCCTCTGTCCATGGGATTTTCCAGGCAAGAGTACTGGAGTGGGGTGCCCTTGCCTTCTCCGTACTACTAATATAGTCTTTATGAAATGATCCTAAAGAGCTGCTAGGAGATCAGAAGATGAGAAGTGCAGGACATTTACTCATCGGTTCTCTTACAAATGTGGAACTGAGCACTTATCAGATGCTGGGTACTTCAGAGAGCACCACGTGGACAGCACTAGACAAAATGGACTTGCCCATTCCTGCTCATGGGCACAGTCTAGAGAGGAACTGCTGGGGAGTAATCTGGTGGGTAATCCAGGAAGGCTGCGTGGAGGAGATGACCTTTAGGCCGAGACCAGACGGCTTAGGAAGAGGCAGCCCGGTGAAGGCAGGGTCCCTTTCCTCTCCCTCAACGTAGCTCTCCTTTGATCAGATCTCTGTATTGAGCTTTAAAAGGCTATGAGGCTCAGAAGGCTTTGAAAATGCTTCCCACAGACATTGTCCCGAGTGGCCAGAGAGAGGGGATGAGGATGGGTGGGGTGAGATGGTGGGGAAGCGGCCATCCCGCCTCACCGCCCGCTCCCGACCCCCAGCTTCCCAGTCTCTGACGGCTCCAGCTACTTTGTGCGGCTCTACACGGAGCCACTGCTGGTGAGCCTGCCCACGCCGGACTTCAGCATGCCCTACAACGTCGTCTGCCTCACCTGCACCGTGGTGGCCGTGTGCTACGGCTCCTTCTACAACCTCCTCACCCGCACCTTCCAGATCGAGGAGCCCAGGAAGGGTGGCCTGGTCAAGCGGCTGGCCAACCTCATCCGGCGTGCCCGAGGCGTCCCCCCGCTCTGAGGCGAGCCCTGCTCACAGTTGGGCTGCAGTTTTTCTTGAGAAGGGTGTGGTGGCTGAGTCCCCCAGCCCCCGCCCTGCCCCCAATGCTCTTCCTGCCACTTGCCCTCCCCCCGGGGTGGCTTTTGAACCAAGTTGTGTAGTGGATTGGGCCAGGGCCTAGAGCTGCAATGTTCAGGACAGTAGCCGTGAGTTGGCTTTTGAATTTAATTGAAATTGAAAATGCATTTCCTTATCCATACTGAGTGCATTTCAGGTGCTCAGTAACCAGAAGTCGTTACTGGCTTCTGTACTGAGCATCATGGGGACAGGTGTTCACCACTGCAGAAAGTTCTGTTGGACACTGCCCCCCTGGGTAACAGGATGTGCTCAGATATTCGTACCACTGTGTGGTAGGTGGAGATTACTGGTTGTGGAATAAAAAGTATCTAATTCCATGGTTGTTTGTCTCCTGTCCTTGAGGCCTGGGGAGAATTGGGGCATAGGGAGAGTTTGGCAGGTACCAGAACTGGATCTCCTGTCCGATCCCTTCCCCTGCCAAAAAAACAACCAATCAACCAACCAAAGGCCCCTGCCTCCTCCTACCCCTGCCAGAAATTCCTTCTCATCTCCTGCTTCCCTCCTCCCCCAGCATCCTCCTCTGACTGGTTCCCAGAACTCCCTGGGTTTGATGGGGAGTGTTTATGTCAACATTTTCACGACCGTGAAAGTGAATCATCCTGTGCCTTTTAGGAGCCCTGAGAGCCAGTCCCCAGTCACCAGGGGTCGCTCTGGAGAGACGCTGGAGACACAGAAGAGCTTTGGGTGACTGTTTCCCAACCAGATTCTGCACTGCAGCCATTTGGGGTGCTTGTGAAATGATGCAGGTTCCTGGGATCCAGACCCTGCGAGTTCAATCAGTTTGGGCAGAGCCAGGCCTTTTAGTTTTTATCTGGCTCCTCAGGCGCCTGTGTTCTGGGTGGTCCTCAGACTACCCACAGGCTTTGAAGCCCTTGGATTGAAGCCTGCCCCTGCCCACGTCCTGGCTGTATAACCCCAGATTCCTGTGAAACAAGTCCTCGGGCAAATGTCTGCCCTGCCCCCACCTTCGCTCTCCTCCTCTGACACGTCTGTCACGTGTGTACGTTACTCGTGGGCCGCCCCTCCTTCTCCCGGTTCTCCCAGCCTAGTCTTATGGTCGATTGCCCATCAAACAGAATACCCCGCTCTAACCACTGTGTCCCCCTCAACTGCCAGGTTCACTCTGACTGACAAAACCGGGTGAGATTTTGCTTCCTCCAAGAAGTCTTCCCTGACAACTGAACTGCTGTGGGTGCCCTCCCTGAACAGCTTTCATAGTTCTTAGCTCCCTGGCTGTTACTGTCCTTTAACGTCCACTAGACTAGGAGCTTCTTGGAGGCACAGGGGCTGTCCTCCACCTGAATACATCTGCACTCAGGACAAGTCAGTGCTCAGTCAACAGACGTGGTTGTATGAGTGGGTGTGGGCTACTGTGGCTTGGGGCCTGGGGGCTAGAGGTAGGATGGGTAAGGTGAGGGGGAACCCCACTCTAGAAACCCCAGCAGTGTGAGTGCAGGGACTTTAATACAGTGCACGCGTCAGGCGTACCGCTAACAGACATGGGCTGTTCAGGTTCCTTCTGAAGGTTTTCCCAGAGCTTCTAGAATGTACAAGTGATGTGTGTGCATGTGTAGGACAAGAGGTGGCATGAGTGAGCTAGTCCAGACCATGGGCAAAAGCAACTGGGTCAAGAGGCTTTTACTCAAGTTGACTTCAAGCAGTAAACACTCCGGGTATGACATAAGAATGCAGGTGAGTATGGTGACTTCCCTGGTGGTCCAGTGGCTAAGACTGCAGGCTCTCAATGCAATGGGCTCAGATAGGATCCCTGGACAGGGAACTAGACTCTTTGACTCCCCTGCTGGAGCCAAAGGTCCTGCAGGCTGCAATGAAGACCAAAGATCCCACGTACTGCAGTAAGGCCTGGTGCAGTCAAATAAATAAAAATAAAAAGAAAAAAAAAAGAAAAAGAAAAAAAAAAGGAATGCAGGTGGGTAGATTATCTGAAGCTAAGTGGTCCTGGCAGCCTGCATGTAGTGGGGTGTTTGCCAAGTCAGAACAGTAGAGTTTATACCTGCAGCCAAGTCAGCACCTAGAAATGCCGTCGACTACTATGTCTTGTATAATTTATAGACAGATGACACCCCATATCTTAGGTCCCCTCCTCCCTGAAATCCACACTCATTTACCCAGCTGCCTACTTGCCATCTCTGCTTGGATGTTAAAGGCATCTCAAATTCAGTTATCTCCCAAACTTCTGATCATCTCCACCCTGACCCTAAACATACTCACCCATCGTCAGCTCATCTCTACAAATGACGGCTCTCATCTCCCAGCTGCCCAGAAACCTTGGACTCATTTTTGATCCTTCTCCTTACTCTAAACATACTCACCCATCGTCAGCTCATCTCTGCAAATGACAGCTGTCATCTCCCCAGCTGCCCAGAAACCTCGGACTCATTTTTGATCCTTCTCCTTATTCTCCAGTATGCCCTGTCAAGAAAGCTGTTTGCTCTACCTTCAGCCTAACTGAAGAATCCCAACTCTTCTTCACCACCTTCACCATCAAGTTATCAAGAGGTCTCCCTGGCTACCCTGGTTATAAATCGCCTCTCCAGTTTCCAGCTTACCGCTTGCCGGCCTTGTTTTCCTCAGTAGCCCTCATCCCCATCTAACGTGCTGTGTAGCTTCCATATCCTGCTTATTAATAATTAAGATCCATTGGACCAGAATTTTGTCTTTCGTAGCTACAGTGTCTGGAACAGTGCCTGGTTAAGGCGACCCTCACTCTGTCTTCCGGAGCTCAGTCTCTGAGTAGCTGATCAGAACATGAAGGGAGTAGCGAGACTTCCCCGCTCTGTGGTTAAGACTGCGATTCCCCTGCAGGGGGCGCAGGCTCCATTCCTGGTTAGGAAACTAAGCTCCTATATGCCACGCAGTGGGCCAAAAAAAAGAAAAAGAAAAAAGGAAAAAAAATGCTCTCTCAAATATATGCCTATTCATGTATAATTAAGCATTTCTGGCCTTGGATAAAGCCCAAGGGTCCATTCAGCTTTGGATCCCCTTTGGGTCAGCTTCAGGCCAGGCTGGCTACTGTGTGTTCTTGCTGATGTGATATCACACGGTCTAGATTGGCTTCTGGGCAGTAGGACTTGTGAAAGGGGTGGGGTGGGAAGGGCGCACCAAGGTCCCCATGACATCGCCAGGACAGGGACCTACCTGGTCTGCAAACTCCAGGTTCTGGCTTCTAGTATTGCTGCTTGACTGTGGGCAGCAGTTTCCCTTCCAGCAAGAGGAAGTGGTTAGATCAGATGTAGGACATGAGGAGAGAGTTATTGGGGTTGGTGGGCAGGGTGGTCAGGGCAGACCACACCCGATATCCAAAATGTACCTCACAGTGGTATGTTATTTAGTCTTTAAACAGAAGGAGATTTTGGGACTTCCCTGGTGGTCCAGTGGCTAGGACCCCGAGCTTCCTTTGCAAGGGGGCACAGGTTTGATCCCTGGTCAGGGAACTAAGATCCCAGAGCAGCCAAAACAAACAAACAAACGAAAAAATGGACAGAAATTTTGATACAGGCTACAACATGAATAAACTTTGAGGACATGGTGCTAAGTCAAACAAACCAGTTATGAGAGGAAAAATACTGTATGATTCTACTCCTATGAGGTTCCGGAAGTAGTTAAATTCTTAGAGACAGAAATTAGAGTGGTAGTGCCCAGGGTAGGGAGAAAAAGGAGTTAATTTTTAATGGATATAAAGTTTCAGTTTGCGAAGATGAAAAAGTTCTGGAGGTGGGTGGTGGTCATGGTGTATATATACATACAACAATGTATATGTATGTAATACCACTAAATAGTACATCTAGAAATGGTTGAAATGGTAAATTTTGTGTTGTATATATTTTACAATTTACAATTTAAAAAAATTTGTAAAAATCTTTTTCCAGTATTCCTCTTGGAGAGAGAGGGCAGTCACCCTAGCTGGCCAAGATTGCCTGAATTTCTACCCCCTCCACACCAGGCCATGGTTCCTGCTGGACAGGAAGAACATTCTAGCTCGTTATGCAGCCCTGGGTAAGAAAGAGCAGCAGGCTAGGATCCAGGGACAGACATCCAAGGTCCCCAGATTTCCATTCAGTCTGGCTTCCTTGATGATTGATGACCCGCTGGTGAAAGGGGAACTTGTGTCCTTGTCCTGTCTTCATTCTGGGAACACAGGACAGTGAGGGCCTGGAGGGCTGGGGGTGGGGTGATGCAGGTTTGATCATACCTGTGACTGTGAGCAATTTTTGAGGACAAGCCCAGGGCCCTTGTAGGAAGGCTTCAGGCCGCGTCGACTTTGAACACTTTATTGACCCAGTCCCAGAGGGATACGGGATGGGCTCAGAACAGGGCCTCCAATCAGGAAGGGCCGCCGAGGCAGCTTTTGGTCGAAGCCTGGGAACGTGCAGGTGTCTCCGTCAGCGGCTCTTGTCCTTGGTCTCTGTGATGGAGATGACAGTCAGCTCCCTTCTTGGCTGGCCCGTTGGCATCCTAGAGCCAGAGCCCTCAAGTTGGACTCCTTACCCAACCCCTTCAACCCTTCAACATCCACCAGCCTGGGGACCTCCTCATTCTACCATCTCCCACCATGATCACTGCTACAACCACATTCATCACCTCTGCCAACAGGATCCCCCATAAAGGTTACATTGCTGTCTTCACCTCTGCCAGCCCCACCATGTGCTTTATTTATTTATTTGGCTGCACTGGGTCTTAGATGTGCCACAGATCTTTTACTTGTGGCATGTGGGATCTAGTTCCCTGACCAGGGATCAAACCCCGGCCCCTGCACTGGGAGGGTAGAATCTTAGTCACTGGACCACCAGGGAAGACCCCCCACCTCACATCATGTATTTTAAAAGGGCTTGCTACAATAACCATCCCACCTTTCATCTTTA